AAAAGTGCATAAACTCTTTGAAACTATAAAATCTTTAATACTGTCTAAAAGCTCTCAAGCTGTCCAAGAACTGTTAAAGTCGCTAAAAACTATCAAGCTGTCATGTTTTAATTGATTTAAAGCCCAGAAGAAAAGGTAATGGGTATAAGTTTGTGTGCATATTGAGCAGACCTTGAGTCTGCTGGACCCAGTTCTTCATGTCAGCTGCCAACTTGTCCTTGGATGCAGCTGGACGAGTGCATTTGAGGCAGCTGGTTTCCCCTTAAAGTGTCATGTCCAGGGAAAAGCTGACTAGTCATGCGGGGAAACTCTGAACTGCTAGTGCTCCAAATTATCAATGATATCTCCATGCAGTCGAACCTGAGGTTGTGGCAAGGTGCTGTGCCAGCTTGCCTGCTGACTGAAATGAGTGTGGAAGTAGAAGATAAGCGATATTGCTCAGAGGCACAATCTTGTTGATTGGTGCAGCACTTAATGTTATAAATGCATTGCAATGACTCATGACCTTCACTTGAGATTGATGGATTTGTTGTAGCATGCAAAAGGTTGGATTCCTCTCCTCAGTCACCATCAGGATACAGGAGGGCATGTTTCATGGGGAAGAGATGAGCACCACAACTAAAAAGCTATCTCCTGGGGCTGGTAAAGATTCAGTTTAAAATAAAGATTTTTGGTGTACCAAGAGACACTGACCAGAAAAATCAATGTAAAGTGTGCAGGGCACACCTACACACTAATGGGCTCCTTTGCAACAAAATTCCAAAGGTACTCCCACCTATCTACTCCTCCCACCTCACTGACCAATCCCCATCACTCCCTACCTGCACTCATCCATCACCGTCCCACCTACCTTCCCCAGCCCACCCCTCCTCTTTATTTATTTCTGAGCTCCCTTCCCCCTCCCCATTTCTGAAGAAGGGTCCCGACCTGAAACGTCAACTTTCTTGCTCCTCTGATGCTGCCTGGCCTGCTGTGTTCCTCCAGCCCCTACACTGTGTTATCTCTGACTCCAGCATCTGCAGTTCTTGTTATCTCTGCTCAGTATACTCCACCTTGCTTGGAACAATGTAAGTCTCTTGCCATGCACTGGCCTTTCAGTTATGCAAAAATGACCCCATGTTTAGTTTGTGATTCAGCAAGTCTGGCACAACTAGATGCTGGTATCATCTGACAAAGTATACCTGAATTGGAAAGCATACCACAAGTAGCCTCTAGAATAGGAGATTTCATTTTAGAGTACAATTGAAAAGGCATTCAATACAATATCACATGAAAGGTTACTGCACAAGATAAGATCTCATGGGGCTGATTTTTAAACGATGAGAGAGGAGTAGCAAACCAAAGGAAACAGAGTCTGGATAAATAAATTGTTTTCAGATTGGCAAACTGTAACAAGCAAGCTGATGCGGCAATCAGTGCTAGGGCCACAACTGTTTACAATCAATATTAATTACTTGGATGAAAGGACTGACTGTTTGAAACCAAATCTGCTGAAATCATGCTAAGTGGGAAAGCAAATTGTGAGGAGAATGCCAAGCGTTTGCAAAGCAAAATAGATGGGTTAAGTGAGTGGATACAGACTTGCGGTTGGAATATGATGTGGAAAAATGTGAGGCCATTCATTTTGGCAGGAAGATTAGAAAAGCAGAATATTATTTAAATAGGGAAAGACTATAGAACTGACTTTGGTATCCTTGTACATGAATCTCAAAATGTCAGCATTCTGGTACAGCAAGCAATTAGGAAGGCAAATGCAATGTCAGCCTATACTGTAAGGGGGAATGGAGAATAAAAATCAGGAAGGCTTATTGCAACTGTATAAGGCATTGGTAACATTGCACCTTCTGGCTGCAATATTTGTCTCCGTACTTAAAAAAAAAGTACATATTCGTATTAGAGATTGTTCAGAGAAGTTTCACTAGTTGATTCCTGCATTGAAGGCATCTCATGATGGAAGGTTAAATACGTTGGGTATACTTACTGGAGTTTAGAAGAATGAGAGGAAATCTCGTTGAAACATAAGATTCTGACCAGGCTGGACAAACTGGATGCTGGGATTTAATTGAGGAGTCCAAGACAAGGGGTCATGGTCTCAAGATACAGAGGGATACTGTTGTGGACTCGGATGAGATTTCTTCACTGAGGGTGGCATCCTTTTGGAATTCTCTACTACATAAGATTATGGAGATCAAATCATTAAATATATTTAAGAAATATATTTAGAGGTCTGGGATGGGCATGGGGGAATGGAATTAAGGTAGGGGATTAGCTATGATCATAATGACTGGTGGAGTGGGCTTGATGTGCCAAATGGCATTTTCTTGCTTCTTTCTTTTATGTTTGATGTTCTATGTTCCCATCTGTGGCTTTGACCAACTCTCTGACAGAAAAATGGCATTTGATAACTTCTTTTAACACGTGCTTGCCCTCAACCATTTCTTTTAACGTCAGTGACACTAAAGGTGAGCTTAGTGGAATATGAGGCAACTCCCCTTTACTGAAGAGGAGCTGAATCTTGCAGATGGAAAATTTTCTTATTGCATAGTTGTTGAAGACACAGCTTCTGTTTGTAGGTACCCCCATTACAGCCTTGGAGAAAGCATCATTCACATTAACCCTTGCAGTCCGCTACAGAGTTTCTCTGGACGTGGCTGGGTGATTTTTGATTTGCCTCTGCATTGTCATTTTCCAAACCTTTGCAATAAAACTCAGTACAGGTTATTGAACCACTTTACTAAGTTGAAATTTCTACTCAAGTTTCACAGGTTTAGACAATCATTTTGACATGCAAGTAGATGACTGCAGTGGTTTTAGTCCGAACTTATTCCTAACTGTGGGAGAAATTGTAAAATTGTAAAATGTTAAGCAGGAAGAGTTGTTCTTTCTTGATGTACCAGTAGAAGATCAGTTGAAGAACATAGTAAAGAGACCTAATTTTCATCAAGATCTTCTACATATGTGCACTACTAGGGGAAAGAAAAGACTTCAATGCCAGAAGTGAAATTTATGATGGGACTTCAAACCAGCCTTGGGGAATTCTTGTCCAACTCTAATCACATTTCTTTCATGCAGTATGTTGATGGGGCAGTGTAGCTCACTTATAGCGAAGGGAGCTTGCAAGTTATTTATTTTTCTACCAATGACATTCCTAGTGCTAAGAGAATGAACTGCATAGTATCAAACTTGGCAGTTTCTGGTTTCACGAACAAATATTATGTGTGAATACTCACCTGAAGCCATTTTGCAAATCCATTCATGAAGCCATTTTTGAAAATTATATGTTCTTGGCTCTGATCTGAGCTGTGATCATTGTAGAACAGAAATCATTGTGATGTGCCCTCAAAAGCTAACGTCCTGAATATGATTCATTTCGTTAGGGAGTTTGGTTGTCCTAATTGCAATAAGCTAAGAAAAAGTGGCAGTGGTCATGCTAGGGTATTCCCAATTGACCTTGAGGATGTTGGTGTGCCTTGCAGGAAACATAGACATAGACATAGACACATAGAAACGTAGACATAGAAACGTAGACATAGAAACGTAGACATAGAAACGTAGAAGATAGGAGCAGGAGGAGGCCATTCAGCCCTTTGAGCCTGCTCCGCCATTCTTCACAATCATGGCTGATTGTCCAACTCGATAGCCTAATCCTGCTTCCTCCCCATAACCTTTGATCCCATTCACCCCAAGTGCTATATCTCGTTGCCTCTTGAACACATTCAATGTAGTTGATGCCAAAACTTCCTGTGGTAATGAATTCCACAGGCTCACTACTCTTTGGGTGAAGAAATCTCTTCTCATTTCCGTCCTAAATTGTCTACCCCGAATCCTCATACTGTGACCCCTGGTTCTGGGCACACCCACTATTGGGAACATCCTCCCTGTATCTACCCTGTCCAGTCCTGTTAGAATTTTACAAGTCTCTGAGATCCCCCCCTCATTTGTCTGAACTCCAGCAAAAACAATCCCAACTTAGTCAGTCTCTCCTCATACGTCAGACCTGCCATCCCCGGAATCAGCCTGCTAACCTTGCTGCACACCCTCAAGAGCAAGAGCATCCTTCCTCAGAATTGGAGAATCACAGAGAAACCCTTCTGTGTATGATAACAAATGAAACAAATGGAACACCACAGGGAATAAAGGACCCTTTGTGATTGGAACACTATGATTTGTTACAAGGAACTGCCATTGACTAGATGTATGGTGTCCTAGAACTTTTCAGACTCTTAATTTAGCCAAAATATGCGCTAGTCCCATTCATCATTGGTAGACATAGACTACATGCAACAATAGACATTGTTGATCGGAGGCTACTTGGTATAAAGCTAACAAATTTAATCCTTTGCTTCTAAAGTCCATCAAACAACATTTGGTAAATTGTAAACAAATGAACACAGGGCTCTGCTTTTATATTCTTCTGTATCTGTACTGTGCGGCATTCAACCTAATCATTTCTACCATCACCACTTTCTGGGTGAAGCTATTTATGTACTAAGCAAGGCGGCAGTAAGTCAAGATCATTAAGGTCTATCAAGGAAAATAGCAGTCCTACTATTGATGAACTTTTCTATTTACATTTGTCCAGTCCAAGAAACAATATTATTTTTGGTGTTATATGGCCAAAGGTTACAGAGGGGTGTGTGTATGTTTTTTTTGGCGGGGAGGGGAGAGTAGAAGTGACAAACTACTGCAAATATTTCCATTGCCTTCATGGGAAATTGTTTGGTGATACCCTGCTGGCTGAATTGGTAATTAGTTGCTGCTTGTTCTTCTTAGATTATCTAGCTGTTGTAGTTTAGGCACTTAGGTTTGTGGTTAGTTAACAACAGTTTACTCCATTAATCAGACAGTATATGAAACAATTACAGAAATTGTAATGTACAGTATGATGTATATTAATGTGTAGCACTTTATAGTTGTAGTGTTGTACTGAATGAAAGACTTCAATTTTAAGCTTACGTAAATGAATGATCTTTTAATTAATCTGATTTTCTTACCATAGGTTTTTGGTTAAAAGTAAACACCTATGAAGAGCAGCCAAATATTAGATTCCAATATCAAGTTTTGATGATTGTTGGAACTAGCGCAAGTGGTGACTTTGTGGCTTGGAGCACGTTTGAGAACTTTAATAATCTGCAAGGGGACAATCTTCGATTCCCATTAGTGACAGTAAGTCGTTCAAATTGATACAATTATAATATTCTGTATATAACTTCCATTTTAAAGTTAATTTAAAGATATTCTTTACACCTGCATATCAATTCATGAGCGCCAGCGAATTTAACTTGTTAGGAATTTCTGCATTTTTCAGTGTCCGTTTGAACAAGATGATGGAGATTCTTTGCTGTCATGTATTCCAACTTCTGGCAGCATATTATCTGTACCATTTTTTGTTTGTATTGGTACAAACCACCAACATTAACCTCTGAAAATGAACCATCTGTAGGCCATTACTGACAGTGTTGTAAATGGTGATTCCTTTCATAGTTAACCAGGACATGCTGAAGAGATAATAGAGAGCAGTTAATAGTTAATGGAGCATATGTTTTAGGGCTTTTGCCCCAGAGGGGCCCTTTGGTGCAGCAGTAGTGTCCATACCCCTGGACTAAGAGACCCGGGTTCAAGTTCCATCCCCTCCAGAGGTGTGTAATCACATCTCTGAATAGGTTGCTTGGAAAAATAGGGCTTTCTTGTATGGCACTGGTAGTGTCCCTATCCTTGGACCAAGAGACCCGGGTTCAAGTCCCACCTGCTCCAGAGGTGTGTAATAACATCTCTAACCAGGTTGATTAGAAAAACAAGAGGGCACAAAAACCTTACTTATAGCGCAGTGGTAGTGCCCCTACCCCTGGACCAGGAGACTGGGGTCAAGCCCCACCTACTCCAGATATGTGTAATAACATCACTGAACAGGTTGATTAGAGGAGTGGGTTAATGATAAAAGGACTTTTGTAAGGGCTTGTATGGCACAGTGGTAGTGTCCCTACCCCTGGCCTGGGTTCAATTCCCACCTGAGCCAGAGGTGTGTAATAACATCCCTGCACAGGCTGATTAAAAAAGTAGATTAAATGGAACAAAAACTTAAAAACAGTTAGAGCTTTTGTAAGGGCTCTTGTGGCACAGTTGGAGTATCCCTACCAGGAGACCCAGGCTCAAGTACCATTCTATTCCAGAGGTGTGTCATAACATTTCTGAGCATGTTGATTAGAAAACAATCTGGTGATTTTAAAAACAAAACCTGACGATTTGGTGATGGGTTGTTTTTAAAAAAAAATAAAAATGAGGCTCCTGTGGTGCAGCGGTAGTGTCCTCCTCCTTAGTCAGGAGTTGGGTTCAAGTCCCATCTGCTCCAGAGATGTGTTATAACTTTGCTGAACAACTTGATTAGAAAATATCTGAATCTGTGGCTCTTGTGTTGTGGTAGAGCCTGTACCCCTGAGCTAGAAAATGTCCTTTGAGTGTAGAACTGAATGTCAGTTATTATGAAAGTCTTGTTGTTAACTTCTACCTTTTGTTCAGTGCCAATTTAAATATTCTGGTGTGTAGGAAATTAAGGCTTACTTTTCATAATGTGGCTTTATGGTTAATGGAGTGTTGATAATTATTGGGCATATTGATGAATTCTTTTAAATCGGCTTCTGTATGAATCCAAACACCTCATAGTCAACACATGTACAGAAGCTTTGTTATTATGTGACTGCATCACCTAATAAATGAATTCATGAAAATAAAAGAAAAGTAGCCTCTCCATAACAGCAGACAGGTCTCCTGGCTTGGTGGTGATTGGCAAGTGAGAGATGTGCTGAGCCACAAAGATGTGGATCGTAATGGTGCACAATTCTGCTGCTACTGTTGGTCCATGACACCCAAACAATGTTAATTTTTGACAACAAGGTGCAGGGCTGGATGAACACAGCAGGCCAAGCAGCATCATAGGAGCAGAGAGCCTCTCTGCTCCTATG